GACAAAACCAAGCTGACCAGCAAAAGGAGGGGTAGAAGAGCCTAGAAGACTCAATAGCAGCTTCATTTATATACCACTTCATACCATGTTATGCAGTCTCTAAGCAGTATACAACTGTAAGCTAATTACCCCCCAACAAGCTGGGTACTCATTTTAGTGACCTCTGAAACATGCAAGCCTGAGTCGAGCCTGAGCCCTGGCTGGTATTGAACTTGCAACTTTGTGGTTTGTGAGTGAATGGCAATGTAATGAATGTAATGAAAACTTCAGAGAGGTGAAAACAGAGGTGTAGAAGGCAGACAGATGAGGGCAGGAGGAGGAGATATGGAAGCAAGCAAAAAATGGAGTGCCTGAAGGGATGGATATGCTTTTGAGCTCTAGCCTAGCCTTGGAAGCATTTTGCAGGTTGCCTATCCTGGGGCAGGACTAGCAGGAGGAAATCAAACCAGGCAGAGGACATGCTCAGAGTCAGATCTTCCTGACATCCATATCATCTCAGTATTGCTGCTCTCCCCTTGCTCCCGAAAAGCCCATCACCAGTCCTGGATGCCACTGCTTAAAATGCTGGAGAAGTTCTATGGGGAGACTGTTATTTCTGGCAAGGTCCTAATAGGCACTATATTTTGGGACATGGCATGAGTTTGAGCATACTGAAGAAAAATTTTATAAATGGTAGAGTTGAAACTCTTGTTTGTTAAACAGTCAGCCCTCCATATACATGGAGGCTTTATCCACAGATTCAACCATCCACAGCTTGAAAATTTTCCAAAAAATATAAATTCCAAAAAGCAAACTTTTATATAAGCCATTTTATATAAGGCTTACCATCTTAGTATCCCATACCAAAGCTCAGTGGATACCAAGGGTCCCTTGTATTCCCTATGTAAGGGCTTTAAGACCTAGCTGGAGTTCAAAAAGTGCCATACAAAGCTGCTAGTGCATGACTCTAATGGTACCAAATCATTTCTTATAAAGTATAATTTCTAATGCCATGCTTTACATGGAGAAAATGCCAGGGACCGTTGGTGGGGCAGCAAACCCACCACAGAATCCAAGAGGACTCCCCTTCCTTCAAGACTCTTATAGCTATCCCCCTTGCAACATTCTATCTGTCACTTCCTGTTTTCAGTCCTACATGGCTAAATGATGGCTAAAGATGGTCCAAACATGTTCAGAGGCCATGTTCCTTCGTACCTATCTTTTCAGGCCACAATAAACACAACTCATCAAATAAAAAAGAAAATATGATGCTTTAGATACATACTTTGACTGAACTACAGAATCCATTGCATCTAGACGGAGATGAACATGACCCATTTTATTCTTGAAGAGCTTATCAAATAGGTCACAAACAGCAGGTTTTCAAGAATTTCTTTGTTGTAGGACTATTGCTGTAGGACATATTCCTATGTTATTTACTTCAGTGACAGTACAAGCTGATCTCCATGGTCCTTCTTATAAGGTTGTCAAGAAAGTACTGAGGCTGAATCACAAAATCATAGAGCTGGAAATGTCCCAGGGCAATCTAGTCCAACCTCCTTCCTGTACAGAAGTTCACAAAACCTCCACAGAACCTTCATGAACCTCCACAGTCTTGTGTATGCCACCCATTCATGAGCCTAAGAAGGCATGAAACTATATAGAAATCTTTCTTACTAGCCTTCCCTTAGACACATGTTAAAAAGTATGGCAGGATGCTATCACACTGCAGAATTAATGCAGTTTTATGCTGCTTTGTCATGGCTGTACCCTATGGAATCCCAGGATTTGTTTTTTGTTGTGACACCAGAGCTTTCTGGCAGAGAAGGCTAAATATCTCACAAAACTACAAATCCCAGCATTCCATAGCATTGAAAATGGCAGTTAAAGCAGTGTCGAACTACATTAATTCTGCAGTGTAGTTGCATTCTTATGGCATTGGTAAATCTGGTGCTCCATCCACATAGTAGAGCTTCTGACAAATCCTATATCCCCTCACCCAGAGGTTTGTCATCATATTGTGCTCCAAACCTATGGGCTTGGGTAAAGAAATAGCTAGACACTTGCATAAATTTTTCCTACTTGGTGATTTATTCAGGAATGCATGGAGCTCTCAAAATCTTTGCCATATAGTTGTAAAATGTTCAAAGTGTTCAAGGGTAGATAAAAATCCTTTAGAGGAAAAAGTTGTCAAAATGAACACTGGAAATATATATATATTAAAGCTGAGAAACTGCTTAATAAATTCAAACCAATGCTCTGTGACATTTCCCACAAGACTTTAATTCTGTTTACAAATTCTGAATAACACCTCAAGTCATTTCTGGCATGGAAGTGTGATCTATTTAAAAGAAAAATGGAATGGTGCATATGCGGGTTGGTGTTTAATGGGAAATGGGATTTGGAGATGAAAAGTCAATGGGCATGAAAGATTGCAAAAAAAATTGGTAAATGGGAATAATGTGGGTGGGCTTTGAACATATAATAAGATATTTGTGAGGAGGCAAATACTACATCTCATGCTCTAGAGTTTAATACAATAATAACTCATTTAAAGAAATCAATTATGAGTCAGATGAAATATTGTTTGTTAAAGTGTTCTGGTAAAGGTAGATACATATGTAAGGAGCCATCCACTAATGCACTCTCTCAGTCTACAAAAATCATTTATCAAACAGAATCACCTTAACAGATTAGAAACCTGGGCCAAAACTAAGAAAATCATGGGAACTGTAATTTATTGTGGCACCAGAGCTCCCTGGCAGAGAAGGCTCAATGTCTCAGAAAAAAATACAATTCCCATGACTCCCTAGCACTGAGCCAGGGCAGTGCTTCAATTTAATGTGCACTATTTCTGGCAGTCTGCAAAGGCCCATAGTGGACCACAAGCTGAACATGAGTCACCAGTGTGACGTGGCAGCAAGAATAGCTGCATTGATAGGAGTATAGTGTCTAGACTGAGGTAATTAGTAATTAGTGCCACTTAATTCTGCTTTGGTCAGACCTCACCTTGAATAATATGCCAAGTTCTGGGCAACACAATTCAAGAACAACATGGACAAATTGGAGTTTGTCCACAGGAGAGCAACCAAAATTGTGAAAGGTCTGGAAACCATGCCCTATGAGGAATGGCTTAGGGAGCTGGTTTGTTTAACCTGGGGAAGATGAAGTTAAGAGTTAACATGGTAGCTATGTTTAAATATTTAAAGTGATGCCATATGGAAGAAGGAGAAAGTTTGCTTTCTGCTGCATTAGAGACTAAGACATAGAGCAATGGATTCAAACTACAGGAAAAAAGATTCCACCTAAACATTAGGCAGAATATCTTGATGGTAAGAGCTGTTTGACAGTCAAATGCATTGCCTTGGAGCATGGTGGAGTCTCCTTCTTTGGAGGCTTTTAAACAGAGGCTGGATGGCCAACTGTTGGGGGTGCTTTGATTGTGAGTTCCTGCATGGCAGGGGGGTTGGATTGGATGGCCCTTGTAGTCTCTTCCAATTCTATGATTCTATGATTCTAAGGTACCTGGCTGGGATGGGGGAAAGTGCTCATGTGGTGCCTTGGCATCTCCCCCTCCTTTCTTCTCTTCAGCTGATAACAGGCACTGAATGAGATGGTCAGGAGTGCCTGTTTTCTACATGGGGCTACCCTTGTGCCTAACCTAGAAACTCCAACTGGTACAAAATATGGCAGCCAGGTTAGTTACAGGTACATCTAGGAGAGAGCATATAACACCTATGCTTAAATCTCTCCACTGGCTGCCGATTAGTTTCTGGGCACAGTACAAGATGTTGGTTTTAACCTTTAAAGCCCTGCATGGCTTGGGTCCATTTTATCTTCGGGACCGCCTCTCCCCGTATTATCTCCCCACACACTCTGGTCCTCTGGGAAGAACCTGTTGCAGCCCATGAGAACCAGGCTGTCACAGACCTCTCAGAGAGCCTTCTCTGCAACCGCTCCCAGACTATGGAATGACTTGCCAGACGAGATCTGTCTTACCACTACTCTTGATAGCTTCAAAAAAGCTTTAAAGACGGACCTCTTCCAGCAGGCCTTCCCGGAATAACTTCCCGGCTCAAATGGAGATGTTTTAAACTTGTTTTAAGTTGTTTGAATCTAATGTGGTTAACTACTATTTTAA